CCACCCCCCCATGTAAAGGAGATCAATGGTATCACAAGGGGGGTGCAGGGGGTGTGGTCACCGGGTGACGCCATCAGAAGGGGTGACGCCAAATGACAGACATTGGTGTCACCCCCTCTGAAAAGCCGGGTCACGGACCGAGAGCCAGGCAGCTGCATGAGAGAGGAGGGGACCCGGCGGCATACCTCATCCCGCTGGATGAACGTCCCCTCCTGTCTCTGCCGGCGTCCATCAGAAAGATGCCCACCAGCGGTGAAGTGCATGTGTATAGGCAGTGGCGGAACAACCCAGGCAGCCGCTATGGGGCCCGGAGCACAGGGGGGCCCGGCCAGGACATCCCCCTAATGCCATGCGGGCCGCCTGGGTCGCTGTGGCTGTCAGTAGGAATGCGCCGCTGTTCAGATCCCTGACAACCTGTTCCTCCTCACAGCCGCTGCTGAGTCAGTGACAGCCAGCAGCTGCGGCGGAGGAGGAGGCGGAGCCCGGCAGTGGAGGAGGAGGCGGAGCCCGGCAGCGGAGGAGGAGGCGGACAGCGGATCGGGGCTGACAGGTAAGAGGCGTGCAAGGGTGTGACCAGCCCACCTGACACCCTGCAGAGCCCACCATAGAGAGTCTACGGCGGGCTCTGCAGGGTCACACTGGGTGACAACCGGCCTGGTGACGCGGCTGGAGGAGATCTTTGTAGTCCAAATCAAGAAAGTAGCCTAAGGTGCCAATGCTGCTCCATCCAGGATACAGTACGGTGAGCGTTGTCACCCCAGGACAGGAAGTGTGTTACTGGCAGGATCGCCAGGTGAAAAAAAAAAAAGGCCAAACATGCTGCAAACTCCGTGTTCTCTGCCCGCCGCCTACGAGAGAGAATTCACGTGCAGAGCGTCCAGGAGGTCTGACTGCCGGAGATAAGAGTGGGCGGCCATTGCTGATCTCCTAGTGCTGGTGCCCGGCAGTCATGCTGATCCTCTGGCTTCCTGAAACATGAAACTGTGATAGTCAATCAGTGCAGATTAATCATCGAAAACATTATACCTGAAATACAGCGCACGGGTTCATTATACATTGTGCTGTATACAGTATATATATATATACACACATACACTATATTGCCAAATGTATTGGGACGCCTTTACACGCACATGAACTTTAATGACATCCCAGTCTTAATCCGTAGGGTTCAGTATTGGGTTGGCTCCGCCCTCTAATGACATCCCAGTCTTAGTCCGCAGGGCTCAGTATTGGGTTGGCTCCGCCCTCTAATGACATCCCAGTCTTAATCCGTAGGGTTCAGTATTGGGTTGGCTCCGCCCTCTAATGACATCCCAGTCTTAGTCCGCAGGGCTCAGTATTGGGTTGGCTCCGCCCTCTAATGACATCCCAGTCTTAGTCCGTAGGGTTCAGTATTGGGTTGGCTCCGCCCTCTAATGACATCCCAGTCTTAATCCG